AGAATACAGAATACCAGAGTTGGAAGGGATCCTGCAGGTCATCTAGTCCAACCCCCTGCTCAAGCAGGAGAATCTATACCATTTTTGACAGATGACAATCCAATCTCTTCTTGAAAGCTTCCAGGGATGAAGCACCCACCACTTCAGTAGGCAACTTCTGTTCCACTGGTTGATTGTTCTCACTGTCAGAACATTTCTCCTTGTTTCTAGGTTGAATCTCTCCTGGATCAGTTTCCATCCATTATTCCTTGTCTGGCCTTCAGGTGCTTTGGAAAATAGTTTGACTCCCTCTTCTTTGTGGCAGTCCCTCAAATATTGCATATCATTGCTATCATGTCTCCCCTGGTCCTTCTGTTCACTATACTAGCCATGCCCAATTCTTGCAACCATTCTTCATATGTTTTAGCCTCCAACCACCTAATCATCTTTGTTGCTCTTCTCTGTGCTCTTTCTAGAGTCTCAAAATCTTTTTTATAGTGTGGTGACCAAAACTGGATGCAGTACTCTAGGTGTGGTCTTACTAAGGCTTTATAGAGTGGGATTATTATGTCATGTGATCCTGATTCAATCCTTCTATTAATTGAATTTGGGATTGCATTGAGTTTTTTGACTGCCACCGCACACTGCTGACTCATATTTAATTGATTGACTCCAAGATCCCTCTCACAGTTACGGCTGTTAAACCAGGTTTCACCCAATCTGTATCTGTACTTTTGGTTTTTCTTGCCTAAGTATAAGACTTTTCTCTACATTGAATTTAATTTTGTTAGATATTATTTATAGATTTGTTAGAAGTATCAGATCATTAAAAGTGATGGCAGGAGATTTGTACAGTCAGACAGTCAAGATGCCATTATTATAACCTTACAATGAAGTAAAATTAGTTTATCTGATTGTGTGTCCTAACCAGTGATGGGATTCAAATTTTTTTACTACCGGTTCTGTGGGTGTGGCTTGGTGGGCATGGCATGACTTGGTGAAGGTTACTGTAAAATCTCCATTCCCTCCCCACTCCAGGGAAAAGTTACTGCAAAATCCCCATTTCCTCCTGATCAGCTGGGACTCGGGAGGTAGAGAATAGATGGGGGCGGGGCCAGTCAGAGGTGGTATTTACCAGTTCTCCAAACTACTCAAAAATTCCACTACCGGTTCTCCATAACTGGTCAGAACCTGCTGAATACAACCTTTGGTCCTAACTAATTTACCTGGGTGGGCTGACAGTCCTCTGGACCTATTAAACATCAATTCTGGTGTAGCCAGCAGACCAGGATTTTTTTAAATGATCCAACAAGATAACAAACTGATCCAACTCTACTTACCGTAGCTTTTACACAATTAACCAAAGTTGGCAACACACTACAACTTGTTACACTTTATAGATTCTGATTGTGTGGTTGCTCTTATTTTTGTACTAGTATGCATTGTTTTAGATGTGAGCCTTTCTTGACTTTTCAAGAAGAGGCATTTGAATAAAATAAGAAAATCTGGTAGATGGAGCATCCGGATATGTGAGGTATAGTTTGCTCACTGAGTGATATTTTGTTGAGAGTCTTTGCCATCTTCATTCTGACAGAGCTACCAAGAATTGTATTACCTACAACTGAAATTACTTGATGTGGGTGTTGTTGTTTTTTGGTTATCATAAATGAAAAGAAATTTGAGCAGTTTGTGGTGAAGGGATAAAAATAGTTGTTCATCCTGAAATTCTGTGTCCTTCACACTGGTTAAAAGTACAAAAATGTGTTCAAAACAAATTATGTTTGAGAAAAATAGAGCAGACAGCAGAATGGTATCCCTACACTATTTGCAACAATAAAAAAATACTATTAACAAGAGAGCCAAAAAGAAACCCAGGTGGAAAAGATAGCCCATTTTCTCGCTTGAGAGGAAATCTTAGAGATATTCAGCATGGTTAAAGGTAAAGGTTCCCCTCGCACATATGTGCTAGTCGTTCCTGACTCTAGGGGGCTCATCTGTTTCAAAGCCGAAAAGCCAGCATTGTCCAAAGACATCTCCATGGTCATGTGGTCGGCATGACTAAACACCGAAGGCGCATGGAACACTGTTACCTTCCCACCAAAGGTGATCCCTATTTTGCTACTTGCATTTTTTTACATGCTTTCGAACTGCTAGGTTGGCAAAAGCTGGAACAAGTAATGGGAGTTCACCCTGTTATGAGGCACTAGGGATTTGAACCACTGAATTGCCAACCTTCTGATCGACAAGCTCAGCGTCTTAGCCACTGAGCCACCATATCCCTCTTAAACAAAGTACCTACGTTTAAATTCAAAAATGCAAAATAAAAGGTAAAATCCTGCAATTGTTCCAAAATGAAGAAAGTGATTTAAATGATTCTATCTCTTAAGGATCTGGTGTTGTTTTTATGAAAGAAAAAGTATCCTCGTTTTAGCAAAAAATATTTTTTGATATAAATGTAGAAATATATTTCTCTCTATTTCAAAGATCAGAGACTTGGGAGACCAAGAAGGCAATGGCTGAAACTTATGAGGAATTCCCCAGCTCTCTACTGATCTTCCATGAAGAAAGAATATATTTTAATTCCATATTACATTTAAACAAACAAACATATGTCATCTCATCATCCACAAATTTGAAATCCCATTATTTTTGCATTCGTACTTTAAATTTATTAGAGCTTTGTGAGCATTGACAATAATGTGTAAGAAATATGATAATTCATATGGTGAAATTTGCTAACTTCACATTATAGCAGTGAAATAGCACATTATAGTGAAATCCGGCCGGATCTATCCGGCTTGCGCGAACTGGTAGCGCCAGCAGTGGGAGGCTCTGCCCACCCACCGGGACATCATTACGTCCCGTTTTTGACCCTCTGTGCATGTGCAGAAGAGGCACACGCACTCACATTCCCGAACTGGTAGTGAACGTAAGTGCATTTCACTGCTGCATTATAGTTTCTCTCTTCAAATATGAGATGTTCCCTCTGCTAAACAGCTTTGTAGCCCTGTTTCTAATAATACATAAAACATTTAGTTTCATCGTAGCATCCATGTTTAATTCCTCAATCAATTTCTTGTTTAATGTTGAGTCCTAATGGTGCAGTGGTTAAAATGCAATATTGCAGGCTGACTCTGCCCACAGTCAGGAATTCGATCCTGACATACTTAAGGTTGACCCCGCCTTCCATTTTTCTGAGTCAGTAAAATGAGGACCCAGATTGTTGGAGGCAATATGCTGACATTTGTAAACTGCTCAGAGTGCTGTAAAACATTATGGAGCGGTATATAAAACCTTAAGACCTTTCTTTTTCAGCAAGCTGGGCTGGCTTAACACTTTTTAAAATGTTTTTAATAGGTTTGTTATTGTTTTTTTTAACTACTTGGCCAAACGCATATATATCTTTTTAACTGTATTTTAATGTTTGTATTTATGTTTTTACTTCGGCTGTGCACTGCCCTGAGTCCTTCGGGAGAAGGGCGGTATATAAATCTGATAATAAATAAATAAATAAATAAATAAATAAATAAATAAATAAATAAATAAAGTCTAAATGCTATTGCTATTGTTATTGCTATTAATAACCAGATTAGAAATATTATTCCTATTAGAACCATCTTATTCAGGTTTCCTATCATTATCACTCTACTTTAAAAGACATAAAAACAAACTTTCCTGCAGAGATTTATCAAGAGATTTAACCACCATATCTTGAGACTTTCCCATGTGAATCTCTTCATTTGAGGACATCTTTCTAATTAACAGGTACAAACCGTCCAAACAGGTGTATCTTAACCACAGTGCTAAGCACTTCAAAATTATGATCCAACCTTTTCATTAAACAAGGGGAAAGCAACTGATGACAGCTTTGAAGAAAGAGCACTGAGCTAATATTTATTTGGGTAAGAAAATAAACATTGAAAAACCAACACTGATTGTATAACCTAGTGGGAAGCAAATAAAAAAATAACACCCATTTCTTTTCTTCACAACAAAAGAAGAGGGCATGTGAAATATTCATTTATTCATCAAATTTATATCGCCATCCATCTCGTGAAAAATGACTTTGAATTGAATGCAGTTCTGAATTGTAGACAACAGTGCAACATCCCATAGTATTGTTGCATTTATATTGTCAGGCATACCACTTTGGTGCATAAATTTACTTTAATCCCATTCTCTAAATCTCTATCAGAAAATCTTGCTTGACGGAACAGGGTTATCTGTCTCGCACTGGAATGGATTCATTAGTCCCAGACAACATTATTATAAGTTCCTTATTGAATTTAAAATAGTTTCAACACTAAATTATCATACTCTCTCTCTCTTCTATCATGTAATCCCTGGGTAAATATGAATTTGTTGCTTATTTTCATGCTGTAGCTTTCTCCCGATTGCACAACTCAGCAAGGTGCAACAGAGTTCTGTTTCCTGATCTTTTGACCTGGAGATATAAGTCCTTGAATATCAGTGGTGGGATTCAAATCTTTTTACTACCAGTTCTGTGGGCGTGGCTTGGTGGGTGTGGCATGGCATGGTTTGGTTTGGTGGGCGTGGCAGGGGAAGGAAACTGTAAAATCTCCATTCCCATCCCACTCCAGGGGAAGGTTACTGCAAAATCTCCATTCCCTCCCAATCAGCTGGGCCTCGGGAGGCATAGAATAGATGGTGGTGGGGCCAGTCAGAGGTGGTATTTACCAGTTCTCCAAACTACTCAAAATTTCCACTATCGGTTCTCCAGAACTGGTCAGAACCTGCTGAATACCACCTCTGTTGAACATGTGATTTCAACATGCAATGTGTATGTCCATCATCTTTCAGTTTCCCCAAATAGACTACAAAGAGTCTCTTTTGCTGGACAAATCAGCTGATTTTTACAATGGAATTTAGAACTAGGGACCATCTGATGCTCAACATATCCATTATAGCAAAAGCAATTATGTGACAGACAGGTAGACACACACCTTTACTTTGAGGATTGAGAGGGAACCGTGCACAGAAACTTCAGAGGGAAATCAAATGGAAGAAATGCAGATTGTAATGATGTTTATTGACACAATGGCTTTCAAGCGATAACTGTGCCAAAGATTTAGTCCTGTGTGATGCTAAATACAAAGGAAGCCGGTGATCACAGAAACTGTTCAAGCAATGAATGCATACAATGTTTTAAAGAAGGGCATCTGGATGGAACAGCGTGTATCTCCACCTGATTCAAGATGATGATTCTTTAGGTGAGATGCCTTCATTTTTTTAAAGTTGATGTTTGCAGATGAAGGCTTTTTTCTTCATGCAAACAGCATCAATCCATCCCTTGTAAACTGCAATGAGAAAATGAAGCCCAGTTTCATCTCTGTCCCTTTCCCCTCTTCAGCATACCATATTTCTAGGCAGAGCTGTCATTCACTTGTCATGAGACGGGCAGCTATATAGGCTAACGACGTACATGTATACAGTATGGTGCAATAGCAAATCAACTGAAAGCAGCTGGGCAAATTTTGTAGTGTACCGAGGCCACATCCCTCCTTACCACAAAGTGGTAAAACATGAAGTAAAGAAGAAGAACACCAAGTCTACCAAAAGAGTTGGTGAACCTCATGAGGTCCTGGGTCACCTCACTTGAGATGACCACTTCGACATTACATCCTGATTACCAATTATTTTAAAAAACCACCTAATCATGAGATTAAGCTATGGATCCACTTAATTTACCCTACACATAGTCCTAAACTTATGACTATGTTGAGACCAGAACTTCCATTGCTAAGCAATGTGGTCATTAAGTGAGTTGAACCCAATTTTAAGATTGATTGATTGATTTTGCTGTTCAGCATATCCAGCTTCCTCCATTGACTTTACTTTTTGTAAGCATCTGAGAAGGTTGCAAAAGGCAGTCACATAACCCTGGAAAACCACAACTGCCAAAAATATATGCCAATTGCCAAACACTTAAATTTTTATCACATGACCTTGGGGATGTTGCGATGGTTATTAGTGTGAAAATCAATCACTCGATCAATCATCGATCACTTTTTTCAGCACCATCATAACTTCAAACAGTTGATGAGTGAATAGTCATAAAACAAGGATTACTTGTATTTTTCAGATGGTCAATCCTGACTGCAGACTGGCCCAAAATCATGCAACCTTCTCTGAATGGAAAACCTACCTGCGGCAGCTCGGAGAGCAACACAGTACTCAGAATTCCAAAGATTGTTGGGTTCTCCACGCATCCAGTTCTTGTAGTTGAAAGCCGACTCATCAGTCCACCTCCAGATCCTATTCTGAAATTACCAAGACAGAAGAAGTACACACTAAATCTGAACAAAAGAACCATCAAGTCAAGGTTAGATAGATGTTAGGAATGGGGGACTGGTTATTGATAGAGAAATCTGGAGGATCTTGCTTACATGGCGAACATCATGGAGCCCAATCCAGACATCAACCCCTTTTTCGTTTATATAAGCAGAGATATGTTTGGCTACAATCAATGTTTCTGGCCAAGTAAGGATAGAAGCAAGGTGAGTCCCCCGGCCATAGCTTTGGCATCTGATCTGAAGACAAGAGGGAAGCACATGAGACTCAGATGCTTCATCCATCCCATATTCTTCACAACTTTCTTAGAGATTTCATATCTTACCTCGGCCTCATGCCAGCTCAGCTTCTCATGGAAGAGCCCATAACAGTTCCTCTGATATCGTAACCATTCCCGTGGGCAGAATCCAGCTTGAGAAGCTGGGGAAGCACAGCAGACATGAATGATGGAAAGGGGATATGTTTATGTCATGACTATGAAATAAATGAATGCAAGGAGGAGCTCAATATCCCAGCCTCTATAAGATTACATTTTCCCACTAAGCTCCATTGTTGTTATGTTGTTTATAATGGCCTGACATGGACACCATCTCAGGAGAAAAAGATACCAGTTATTTTTAACATAAGGTGAGTAGGAAGAGGTGTCTATGAACTTAAGATAGCATCTTCTTTGTTTCTTTAAGGTGGTTGGGCCTAACGGGATTAGGAAGGTCCCTGTCACCATTATTTATTAATCAATCAAGAATAGACCTGGAAAGGACCTTGGAGATCTTCTAGTCCAATCCAAGTCCCTGCTCAAGCAGGAGACTGTACAATTTCAGACAGGTAACTATCCAGTCTTTTCTTAAAAACTTCCAGTGATGAAGCCCCTACAACTTCTGAAGGCAAGCTTTCCGCTGCTTAATTGTTCTCACTGTTAGAAAGTTTCTCCTTCATTCCAGATTGCTTCTCTTCTTGATTAGTTTCCATCCATTGTTTCTTGTCTTGCCCTCAGGTGCTTTGGAGAATAGTTTGACTCCCTCATCTTTGTGGCAGCCCCTCAGATATTGGAACACTGCTATCACGTCACCCCTAGTCCTTCTTTTCTCTAGACAAGCCGTACCCATTTCCCTGTCCTTCGAATGTTTTTGTCTCCAGGCCTTTAATCATCTTAGTTTCTCTTCTTTTGCACTTTTTCTCAAAGTCTCAATAACTTTTTTTGTAATGTGGTGACCAAAACTGGATGCAGTGTGGCCTTACTAAGGCTTTATAAAGCACTATTAATACTTCATGTGATTTTGATTCTATGCCTCTGTTTATACAACCAAGGATTATATTAACTTTTTTGGCTGTTACCGCAGCCAAATAAATAATGTCCTTACTTAGGTTTGTTTCCTTTATTCTAACCATGGTAAAGCTGCCCATAATTTGAGATAAGTCTTTCCCAGATCTTGTGATAGGGAGAAGACAGGAATGAAATCCCTGCTTGCAGAACTGGTACTTTACCATTGAGCTAAACTGCAGCCTGAAAAATCACTGAAAAAGACTGACAGTCATCTAAATAGTGCTTGGTGCTCTCTGAACTTGGTTATTTGCTTGCAAACATTTCATTACCAGTCTAGGTAATTTCATCAGTGCGCTTCATATGCACAGACAATGTTATCTGGTCTGGAATTGAAATGCTTGCAGGCAAACAGCCAAGCTCAGAGAGGAAGGATTCTATAATTCAACCTTGAGCTACAAATATTGTCTTCTATTGACAGCCATGTATTTTGGCCTTTCATTCTGCTATATTTGACTGCTCAATAGGCAATTTCTCTCTCTTCACCCATCTTGGACTTCAGACCTTTTTTATATATAGGGGAAAACTCACCTGCCATGAAGAAGCCAAGAAGCCAAAGACGAATATATGCCAAAGGTCTCATTTTTGCTCTTCAGCTAAGAGAAAATCAAGAGATAGTTTCCATTTTTAAAAAAATTATGTATTTATTACACCAGAAGAGAGTGCTAGTGTTGTGTAGGGATGAAGTGTTGAATTAGGACTATGGACTAGCAAATCTCTTTGCATGAATTTGGAACAGTCACTCTTTTGACTCCCAGCCTACTTCATAGAATCGACCTTGTGAGCATAAAATATAGATACTTTCAGCTCTTAAAGAAAACAGACTATACATCAAAGAAATCACAAAGATGTAATCCATTTATAACCTTGGCTTTCTTTGGAAAGCTTAAGGCAACAGCTTAACCAAAGGAGCCATGTTAAGCTTTTGTTTTGATTTACTGCATTTTTAAAAAAAGCTTGAAGGAACCACATCCTTCAACCTACATTTTTCCTTTAATCCCAATGCCCTTTCAGCTTTTGCAACTAAGCATTTACAAAGTGTTGAAAGAGAGATCAAATAGCGAATCCTTAACCACAGGTTTTTATAAAAAATCTGACAGATAAAAGTTCCACTTATGGAAATTCTGAGTCAAGAATTAACCATTATGTTTCCAGTAAAGAAGCCATAAAAGACATTCTGGGTTGATTCATACCTGTCCTGAACATAGTTTACTTTAGATAGATGATAGATAGATAGATAGATAGATAGATAGATAGATAGATAGATAGATAGAT